CAATTCACTTAAAAAGACCATATATAGATATAAGAAGATGTGGTATGAGTGCCAATGAGACATTTCTCCATCCAAGTCACAAAATGTAAAAGAAAAACCATTATAAGTCAAAGTACGATCTTCAACACGGAGCCTTGGCTCACACCGAACAGCAACCTACAAAGGGCCCCAAAATGACCAGTGCAAAACCATTCAAACGGTAAAACTATGCAACGGTATATTCTATATAATAAACAAGAAACGAGAACACTTATGGATCACATCAACAAACGGCAACTACTGAACATCAGGTTCCTGACTTAGAACAGGTGCAAACAAATGCAGAGGGTTTAAACGTTTTAATAGGTACCAAATTCACTCTTATCCGAAACAATAATGTAACATATGACCTTTTATATTGAAGGGCTAAACTTGCATTGAGTCGTGTTTAGGCCCTAAAATAGAAAATAAAGAGATGTGCATGGGACAAAATCACACACAATACATAGAAAAAATACAAATTATCAATGAACAGGGCTTTTATTCCTGTTCTTCATCTTGAAAGTAGCTGGAGGGTCTTCAACGAGGAAAAGAACCATTCATACCCTGAAAACAACAGCCACACACTTGGCTATGTGGATTACAATGTTTTGCTTTATCTTACACCCTGGATTTTTTCTCCAGAAGACCTCAGGTACCCAGCTTCCCTTTGCACCTAGTGCGGACAAAAGTATTGCCGTAGATTTTTTTTATTAACTTATCGGTAATGGTGTGGTAGGGACGGTAGCTTAGGTCTACTTGAGAAAAAATCCAGAGTGATGTTCGGCTTAGTCTTTTTTTATAATATAATAAGCTGGCAAATTATGAAAGCTCATGTCTTAATTGATAGGCATAGAAATAAAAAGAAAACGTATGAAAACCAATAACATTCTACCGGAGACAAAATAACGTTGGTTAAGGCAACTAGTATGATGGTCTGGATGCGTATTTCTTCATTTCTGTATTCTTTGATATACTATTCCATTTTTCTCTATTCTTTAACCAGTGTTTCAGCCCATTTTTCTCTATTCTTTATCATGTTTATTTCTGTATACGTTTTGCCAATTATTCTATTCTTTTTATATTTTAACACCTCATTATTCTATTTTTTTTTATTTCTTGGTCCATTGTCTCTATTATTTATATTTTTTGCCCACTATTCTCTATTCCGTTAACCCCCATCCACACCCAGGCTCTAGTTAAGGTCACCATATAGCTTTCAAAAATAAGCAAAACTAATACCGAGTAGGCTCCGAATGACAAAATGATTGAATGCTTATCCCGGTTTGAATTGTGAAATTGCGGAAATTTGTTTTTCAATCAATTGATCAAGCAAAACACATTATCGTCCTGAATGTTCGTATAATGGACCTTGGTTATGAATTCTAATCATCTGAGATCAACCTTTCTAAATTTAAAAATAAAGATCGCGCACCCTTATTGTTCAGATTGATAAAGTCTTTTGCATCCGTCGACATTATCTTCGATTAAAGATCTGATAACCACAGTGACTGTGCATGAATACTTTAACGACCGGGGTAGTTTTCTTATAAGTTTTAAAAAGTAGTAACCTCCCTTGTTAATGTGATGTTGTAATCAATCTATTTATTTGTACCATCTTTATATAATATTGTATTGTACAATTTAAAATATGATTCGTTTAATATTTAAATATAATAATTTATTTTTTATTTAAGATATAAACAAGGTAATTTGAAAGGCTTTGATTCATTTATCACCGTAGTTCAATTCAGGCGGTCTATTTTGTCTACAATATGTTGAAAGAACACCGGGGTGTTTACATTGGCATTATTTACTATCAATGACTGTGAAACAAGAAAGGAAAACATTGTACATTATAAAACGAGAAATAATCAAAATTAAATACAAAATTCTTGTTTAGTGAAATCAAAAACGAAAAACGGAAACACTTTAGATTTTCATTTTGGTTTTTGAGAAATCAAAAACGAAAAATGAAAACACTCTCGTTTTTTGTTTTTTGTTTTTGATATTTCAAAATGAAAAACGAATGGACGCAAATATACACGGACCCTGCTGGAAGATATTTTGCGTTCTGAGCACAAGAGCTGTAAAAGAAGTCCATATAATGTGACATGCTAACAAAAAGTCTATTAACAATCTACCATAATAAACGAATAACCCCAAACTGTTTGTTTATAACTTATGTTTTCTCGCATTCAAATGTCATCCCTACAGCTGGAATACTTTGGTCATTTTTAAACGATTGTGTCAATGCTAAATGTTATCTTTTGCAATTATTTTCTTATTACTCAGCTGCATTGTTTAAAAGCTTTGTGCATGGTTTATTTCTGGAATATAAATATGTGTCTAGGACTATAAAGTAGGAATTATGTATCCTATCCATAATGAGGATGAGTTTTATAGTCTATAGAACTGTTAAGTTACAAACCGGTAATCTACAACTACAATTTCTGTAATTGACTATTACATGATTAAGGGCATCCGTTACAGTTTTGATCCCACGATGATCATTTTACGAAAATTTGCATACACTCTTTTTGTCACTTTGTTAATTAAATATGTAATAAGAAAAATATACCTTCGTATGCTATGTATGGAAATAAATTTTTAGACGTTCACTCAAAATTTGGGTTTCTTGGAAATTTCTAGCCTTCATAAGGCCATACCTAACTTTCTTGCTTCAAAAGTGAAAACAAGCGGATTTTGTAAAAACTTTTGGAATATCTTCTTAACATAAGTATGCTACAAATTTATGTAACAATTATTTTTAAACTATTCATTTTAAAAAAAATGTTCATGATATTAGAGAAGAAAACGTCATTTTTTGCTGTTTATTCAACTCATTTAAACAAAATTAATCGGTGATTCGTTCTTAAAACAGGTACAAATAATCTTCACTCATCATAAAACCATATACCATTTTAAAAAAGAGAGTTGCATGTACTCGTTTTCAAGTTAATGATTAAAATCAGTATGGAAATGCATCTTTTCCCGATATGTCACAGTTTGACGTCGCGATAGATAACATTTTACGTTAGCATTGTCATTACCTTCCTTGTAACTATATCGTATGTCCTTAAGGTTTTTATTTATTCTTTTTAATACACTTGTTATGCAATACTTGATAATGTCTTAAATATGTATAATATTTGCACACGGTACTTTTTACAGCTGTTTAATTTTTCAAATTATAATGTAAGTAGTTTATTCCGTATAGTATAAAAGGTATATATCTTGTCTGCTTGAAAATTAAAAGAGACGAACTCTGCCTTTAAATCATGTTTTATATGCGCATACCAATTGTTACAAAGACATGAAACTTTATACATATTTTTTGAAGAACACCAAAATGAACAATAACAATTAGAGTATATTAGTTATCTTGGTGTAAGCCGAATGGGTGTATGAATTTTCAACAATGGAGTAAAATTCCGTTCACCCCTGATAACACCAAGATAACGAATTTATTTTTTATGAACAATTCCTTTACTCATTTAAACCGGGATGTAAAATTGAAAAATGCTAATAAAAAATTTCTAGTGTAACATTTTTTCAATGTTGATGTTGCTGCGTATTGTCAAATACTTCTTTTCTTTTTTTGGGGAAAATTCAGAAAACAAATTTTGTTCTTTTGAATTTTCGGGAAAACAAAATGTTTGTTACAAATTTTTGTCCTCCAATTTATTTATTTTTTATTTTTTTATATTTTTTTTTTGTTTTTTTTTTACATTAAATTTATCTTTATTTATGTTATTTTTATATATTTTTTTTTTTCTTTATTTTGGCAAATTTTTTATTTATTTTTTTTTTGGCTAAATTTTATTTATCCCGGGGTGAACAAGGGTGGTTTGTTATTTACACCGGGGTAATTAACCAATCAGATTGCAGTATTTTTTCTGCATAAGAAAAAATATATGTTACACAATGCAAGTGGTGTTACCAAAGTGTAAGTGATTACGACTTGCTAGATGATATACTCAGTAAGTTATTGGTGCGACCACCTGAAAAAAATAAGAAATTTAAGTAAGTCAGTCAATCCTTTATTTAAAGAGGGTAGCACAGTTAGCAACAGCAAAGATATTCTTCAATGAGGCCCCCAAACAATAATTCAAATAAATTATATGCATAATATACATACATTATACAAATTTACACTTTAAAATAAAATAACACAAATACCCGAATCTGAACGCAATTATAAGACCAAAAGCCGGACCAAAACTGGACAGCTAAAATAATCTGAGGTCAATTTTGTCTTGAAGGGGGAGGGGTGCTTGAATCTTAGTTTCTTGATAATAATTCATTAGTCTTAGTTTTGCAGTTCATGCCTTTATGAACTGATGTTCGTGTTTCAGTTATGGTTATTTACGTTGATTTGATACAAGTGTAATATTTATTATTTATTTTGTTAGAAATGAGAACCCTTCAACATTTGCTGCTTCATGTGTTAGATGATTATGATTATTTTAAAAGATGTAATGTACAAACGGTTCGGGAATATGGTTGTTACTGAATATTTGTTTTCTCAGAACTTGGAATGAACAAATAACCGTCTTACAAATGTGTTAAACCGACATTTTAGAGAAGTGACCTTTTTTGGATTTGTTTTCAACAGTTAAAAGTCAATAAAACCACAAATTGATTTTTACCTAAGGAAACGACAGTATTTATACAAACGTTATATTATTCCGAATGATGCTTCCGATAAAAATTAAGTACTGTTAATGAAACTATGTCTTATTTATTTGATGTATGCTTTTCATTTCATCGTTTTTAATAGTTATTACTAAAAAGAGAAGTAATAACTATAATACACAAAAAAAATACAAGAAATATGGGATTCTTCCAAAAATAAAAGTAATATTATACCGACTTCAAAACTTGCATGATCATATTACAGAAGGATGCCAGAAACTGACACACGCTATACAAATATATATATATATATATATATATATATATATATATAGATACATTTACTTTTCATTCACCAAACTCAATATATTTTGAAGATTAAGGTAAGAAAAATTGTATAAGTAGAAATTAACATTTTATTTTCGATTTGCTGTTAATATGTGAACACAAATATGATATGAAGTTGATTATGATGCGATTTTAATTAAATCAAAATACATGTATGAATTTATAGATTATTGTTAATTATTATTTTTTTATAACACGCAGCGAATGGTATATACAATAATGTGACTGTTATCCAGTTTGAATTGACCTTATGCTTATGATCGTTTATTTTATTGTTTTGAATTATTAACCTCGTATGTTTGATATATAAAACCGCTAATGGATTTCAAATAATAGATGAATGATTTTTTTTCGTTACAAATCTAACATCTTACAATAGGCAATGCAAAATATTCATCCCAAGTGATTTTATAAAAAAAGGTTAAACCTTTGTTGAATTATATGATCCATCTTATTTGTTTGTACTTTTAAACTATCGTAACATTGTTTACCAAAGTAAATATTACAAATGTTTTTGTTGAATAAATGGTTGGAGATTTATTGACTAGACGTATTGTTTTTCATTGTCAAACTTTTTACAAAAAGATTTTTCATTGAAACATGGAATTTGATCACTTATATTATTAACATTTACACAAATAAAAAATCTTTTGAAATAATAACAATATAAAAGAGTTTTTTTATGCAGTCCACAAATGTATATACAGAAAACATCAATTTTATTCAACAAATCTGAGACTGGCAATAAATCAATAACGAAGCAATTGATCAAAATTTTTACTTATAAGGCATTTTTCATTTATAAAACATTGTTTGGAATACGTTTTTTTCTATAACTTTTCAGAATGATTGCTCTTGTGGTTGTTCTGGTTGCTACCTTTGTTGAGGTTGGTGGACATAATGTATGCCTTGAAAAACAAGAAAAAAATAATTTGAATCAATTGAGAAACCAGTTAAAAGGTTTTAAAAAAACAATCAGTGACTTGGAAAAGGGTCTTAAAGGTTAGTTTTAGTCATTTGATTCCTATATCATTGTCTAGAGATAATTTTTTCAGAAAAGACCTACTTCGTGTGCATTAGATAATGTTTATAAATAGCAAAGAAATAATTTTAAATCGTTATCATTATTTTTTAAAAAGAAAGGCGAAAGATACCAAAGGGATATTAAAACTAATAAGCCGAAAACAAACTGACAAACAACTTAACTATGAGGAACATATATAGAAAGGGAAGTCTGTTTTTATATTGAGACAGCACATTAACTACTGACACTGGAATGAAGACATAAGTTGTCAAAATACGTACGATGTTCAACAATATGAAAGTGTTTACCAGTTCTCAATCGATCAGAATCTAGAAAGGTTTTGAATAACCTTGGTAAGGATTAGTTTAAATCCCACAACTTTAAAAACATGCATAACTAAAAACTGTCTGAGGGTATTGGTGCTTGACTAAAAAAAATAGAACTGACTAACTATGGTTTTTTTATAGCTCAACTCATCCCCTTTTCTTATCTCGTTTTTGTACTTAATATCTGTTTGTTTTGCTCACAAACAAATAATTACTTCATTTGACAACAGCAGCGTCCAAAATGTGCACAATAATTACAATCATAATTTTCAAACATAAATAAAAATAGATTTAACAAATATAACATGATTGGTTTTAATTTTATAGATTAACATCTACAAATTACAATTACTGTCTCTTATCTTCATTTTCGATTAACCTAAAAAAAGAAAAAGGGAGATTTGTTATCAAGTTTTGAAAAAGAGTTTCAGTATTAAATATTTTGCCAAGGGACTTCTCATGATAAACAAAACTTTAAATGTTAAAAGAAAACGACAAGATACAAATATAATCAATATGTGGTTCAAGAAACTTTCTATTAAAGCATCTAAAAGATCTGATTACAATAGAGGAACAATGGATAAATACAAGATATTGAAAGAAATTTATTCTCTTTTGAATATTCCAGGAAAACATGTTTCGGGAAATGACGGTTGTAGGAAAGACTGGGACCGTTTTAGAGATCATTGTTACTTCGTTAGCAAACACAAGAAAAGTTGGTTTGAAGCTGAGGTAAGAAAACATATTTTATTAATTTATTATTTAGTCTGAACACTGTGTCTGGTTGCTGTCTGTCATAATTTTAAAAGGTTAAATTCTAACAATGCCATTTGTGCTCACTCTTTATTTGTTCTACAGCAATGTATCCCTCGCTTTCGTATAACTTACTTTATGGTAGGGTCTTTGATCATTGTGGTAAACCGTACGGTGATCTGCTATTCTATATTTCTTGTCATTTGACTTTGAAGGATAGTTCAAGCCAAAACATATCCATATACAAAAAAAAATAGAGGAATATATTAAATAGTGTAGAAGTTTAATGTTTTAGTTATAATAATTGTATGTTTATGCTGTTGAACATTTCTATATAATAAATATAAAAATATGCTAATGATTTTGAGTTTGTATTGTCCTTTTTTTAGCGGTATTGCCGATCAGAAGGTTCATCTCTCGTCAACATTAAGGATGACACTGAAAACAACTGGGTAATGTCGAAATTAAAAGGTAAATAGTATGACTTATCTCTCTCTCTCTCTCTCTCTCTCTCTCTCTCTCTCTCTCTCTCTCTCTCTCTCTCCCCGATATGAGTCAATTGTTTCTGATAACTGTTTTAAACCAAATACACAAGAAATACTTCTCTTTGTTGAATATCTTTAAGGTGGAGGTTACATTTGCATTGTATTGTAGATACTGCAGTTTAATGTCCATTAAAATATGTGTTTTAGAAGCAAAAATAAACAATGCTTGGTTAGGAGCAACTGACTGTGATTCAGACAAGTGGATATGGGTGTCTGACTTTGCACCTGTTAAATTTTTTAAATGGTATAGTAATGAACCAAATGGTGGAACTGGTGAAAATTGTTTAGAGATGTACGCAAATCATGGAGGGCCATGGAACGATAAACCTTGCAAGTACACAATTGACTTCGTATGCAAAAAACATGTTGTAAGTGCATTTGAAATAAAATAATAATGAAATAAGTAATCGTCGTGTTTTGAAAATGCTAAATCATAATTTCTATAGCTAATATTGGCTTCAATCAAATCCTTTCGAAATAACTTAAGACAATTTATAATGACACAATACACATAGGAAAACCTAAAGAATTAAAGAAAAATATGTCATTTAAAACAAAAATTAAGTTGTTTAATAAAGAATAGGTACGTACAATTTAATAAAGGCAACAGCAGTATACCGGTGTTCAAAAGTCATAAATCGATTGAGGGAAAACAAATCCGGGTTACAAACTTAAACCGAGGGAAACACATCAACTATAAGGGGAAAACAAAGGAACAACAGGAACACTGAAGTGCAACAAAAACAAACGCCAACATACATAGAAACGAACTATTTGATAACAACTGCCATATTCCTGACTTGGTACAGGACAAACAGAAGCAGTAGTGATTTAGCAATTTAAATGTCATTTCAAAGAAGTAAAGCAACCCTATCCTTACAAGCAATTTAAAATTTGTTTTGTTGTTTTTTGTTTCAGATAAATGGCTGCCCACTAAAAAAGGAAAAACAGTGAACGAAATAAAATGTGCCAAACGTACAATGAGTTTCTTTATTCAAAATAAAAAAAAAATACATTTCTGAAGGATATCTGGGTTTATAGTGGTGACTCCTTTACTTGTGGAACTGAGATAGTTTCCACTGTTTTGGCGTAGAAACTTAGTATAAGTACTTTAAATTTCATGACAAACTTCTAATAGTCAAAACTAAACAACAGCTTCCTTTTGCATTATACGGATTTTGATTAACCGTTTATTTTTTATCTTCCCAAATGTTTTGTATATGCGTTCTAATCCAGAAGCTTGTTCTTGAGGATACTTGATTGAAAATGATTTAAGAACACCTGTCGTTGTCACTGGAATATGTATCATATGTTTCCATTTCTATGCGCATCTGGAGCAGAAAAATTAGTACCGTTAATGCTACTACTTATTACGAAAACTACCTGCAGACGGCTGTTCATCTTCATGAAGCTAATTATTACATATGAATCCGTAGTCGAAAGAAAAAAATACTATAGCATCACACAGAAATTGAATACTAATCAACAAGATCCCACTAATGTTCTTTGCTAGGATAAATAGTTCCTGTTTTAAAGGCGGCACATGTTGTGTTGCTAATGTCGAATTCTGGGATAAAATAAAATAAAGAAAATGTCGTATGATTGCAAACGAGATAACTATCAACCAGAAACAAAATGACGTAGAAATTAACAATCGTATGACCTTAAATAATGAGCCCTAAAATGACATATGTAAAGTAAATCAAACGAACTTCCTGATTTATGTACAACACAATAAAAGGTAAAGACATACAGCAACAAAAGACAACTACTGAATTGCAGGCTCCTGACTTGTGACAGGCACATGCAGAATGTGACTGGGTTAAACAGATCATTAACGGTACAAATTGTTCTGCAATAGATGCACATTTCGTTAATAAATGGCTCTTCGTTGATGTTCGAGGCCAAAATACTTAAAAATTCAAAACTTTTTAAAAAGAAGAGCTAATGAACCAAAGAGGACAAAATGTGTAGTAAAAGCAGGACAAGGAATCAGGAGTCGGTTCCACAAAAAAACTTACGACTAAGATTGATCGTAAGTCATGAACAAGTCAGTATACTTACAATCGATCCAAGTCGTAAGTTTTTTTGTGAAACTGACTCCAGAGCTTTGCATTACGGAAAGACATTCTTTTATTTAAAATAATTTCCATATGTTATACCAGCATATTTTAATAAGACAATATCATTATTTGCATGCCAGTATATTGAAGTACAGTCTTAACTGTAAAGGAAAACCTCGAGAAAATATTTGCTCAAATGGGTTTTGTCTTTTCTTAATTTTTTTATGTCCGAATGTTTGGTATCTTTATTTCTTGTTTGTTTGTTTTTTATTTTATTTTGTTTTATGTTTGCTTTCAATTATTTAACACATATGGCCTGTCAAATTTATATCCGCGAATGTTTGTGTTGGAAGTTATTTTGATACAATTGCATACGTTTTTATAGAATATATAACTTCCACATGGAGATTTACAGGTGCTGGTTGTCGGAAAAAACCTAAATCTGTTGGATGTTGGATGTGTACTGATTGATATTTCAGTCTAAGATAAATGATTGTTGTTTTATTAGTTGAACTAGCTGTCAGTAACTGCTAGTACTCTCAGTACTTTGTGTCTTTTTTGGTGTGTGGGAAGTATAAATATCTTGCTACGTCCGGTATGTGTGTTTGTTAGATGTGTTCCTGCTTTGTATCGACCTGATGAGTTAAGCCCTTTTCAACTGATTTTTATAGGTTGTTCTTATGTTGTACTGTTACTCTACTATTCCAGGTTAGGGACGGTTAGCACCTTCAAACATGTTTAACCCAACCATAATCTTTATGTTCCTGTCCCACGTCGGGAGCCTGTAGTTCAGTTGTTGTCGCTGGTTCATGTCTGTTATATTTGTTTTTCGTAAATTGTTTTGTCTTAAATTAGGACGTTAGTTTTCTCAATGGAATTGTTTCATATTTTTCATGTCGGGGCATTTTATAGCCCACTTTACGGTATGAGTTTTCTTATTGTTGAAGGCCGTAAGGGTACCTATAATTGCTTACATCCACTTCATTTAAACTTTGGTGGATAGTTGTATCATTGCTTATCATAACACATATCTCCTTATTTTTATCTAGATTACCATACTTCCTGTAATCAGTTGACCTTAGGCTATGTGGCTATTCTGACTTGTGCATTTGGCTTCTTCTTGTACATGTTGTATTGCCTTGGCAGTTCTTGTTTGAGATAATACTTAGAACAAGTGTGTTTCCTAAAAAATCGGTATCATTTAGGTAATGTTTTTGTCCTCCGCAGATTCCACAGTAGAGGCGCTTTCTGTATTTGTATAATTCAGATACTTCATGTAGATTTTGAATTCAATTTGCGGGTTTATGAATTATGTTATTAGATTTTAAAAAAGGCCAACAACTCGCTAAGGCACACTTCACCTTTGTCGATTTTTAATGTAGGTTTTATATATATATATATATAAAGAAAGATAAAGAGATGTCGTACGATTGCCAAAAATCCAATTATTCGTATCTAAGGAAAAAGTCAAATATGTCTACAACTACCGGTCCTTTAAGGTCCTTTGATGTGTTAATACAATCTCTATACACAATGTCTAACTTATCTAATGAAGTTATTAAACAAATCATAATAGTGCACATAACTGAAGCCCTCTGGAACCAGAAATCAAGTTAGTTAAGTACTCCCTATTCTATTTTATTTGCGCTAACCATATTCGTATGAAGAAGTTGTTGCATATATTTATATTTCTGTTAAGGTTTATGGTCAAATATGCATTTAAGTAAACGTTGGTAACATCGTAGTTGATACTTAAATACATGAGGTTTGAAAGCTTAAAACGAATGTGTAAGAGAAAATCCAAATAGTAGATCAATCATTAACGAATATATTGTGAACATCTGAACTATAACATAAACGGTACCAATTTTTTGCACCAGATGCGCATTTCGACAATCAATGTCTCTTCAGTGATGCTCGAGGCCAAAATATTTGAAAATCCAAAGCTTATTAAAAATATGAAGAGCTATAAACAAAAAGGACCAAAAAGTATAGCCAAAGCCGGGCAAGGAATCAGAGCTTTGCATGAGGGAGATACATTCCTTAATTTTAAATAATTTCCAAAATTTTGTGACAGCAAATTTTAATAACATAAAATCCGTATTTTCATGCCAGTACCAAAGTACTGGCTACTGGGCTGGTGATACCCTCGGGGACTATCATGAAAATTTAAAATTAAAAAAAACGACAACCACTGACGACATTCCTTGCATAAATTAGGAAGTAAATTGACCGTAGACAAATTTGTCTCTTCTAGTTAGGTCCCAATTGTTCAAATGGTCCATACCGTTGCAGCGTTTTTACGCATCTCTGGCTGTTTAATGTTTATGTTTTAGCGTTTCTGACATAGGTAAATCCAGAAAAGCGCTTCGGACGCAGGAAATTTAATAGGTGTTGATTTCATTTATAATGAGACAGACATATAATCAACTGTTAACCAATAGTGTATGCTTCTATAACAAATAAAATCCTAATGAGATATAATTTTTTATTACTTCAGTCTTCGGTATTTATTTTTTTATCAATTCTGTTTTTGGAATGTCTCGACATTTATGTTAGTCCTGGTTTTAGAGTTTTTCATTTAAATATGTCTACTTTATGAATTTGATAATGGTTTACTGTTAGACAAGACAATATAGAAATTCGCTTTATAAGAAGCTTGATAAAAATAACTGACAACGTATTCGAGTGTTGAACTAAATAAAGAGACGGGTTTAACGAGGAGAAGAATAACTCGAAACCCTTCTGGAACACTTGAGTTACACCCACGGTTTTTGGTAGAAAAGGAGAGCGATTATTCCAATGGAATAATGAAAAATCACGAGTCCAATAAAAACTGACAAAACTATCGTCAAAAAGAAGAAATAACAAAACACATAACAAAAGTTAATGACTGAGCAACAAGAACCTCACCAAAAACCAGGGGTGAACTCAGGTACGTTGGAAGAGAAAGCTGTTCTGGCTGCTCCAATATTGACATCCATCGTGTTATTCTTTGCTAGCAAAATACTGGTAACAAGTTGCATTCGTTTATATCAAAATCGAGAAATACAGAACCGGTGTGTAGTTACGACAGGTGGTAAAGCTCATTTTGTTCTATCTTTAACTATGAAGTATTAAATTCAATGGATTTGTTTGTGGTTTGGAATTTTTATTTTCTGTTGTCAGTCGTTCGTATTTCTATAATAGATTTTTGAACCTACCCTTTAGCATCGTTTTATGGTACACATATTTTTTGAAATTTTTCCTGACTGTTTTATTTCACTGAACTTTGCATTTTTTGAATATAGCCTACATTAATAATTTAAAAAATTGAGATTTTCATTTGGTGTAGTTTCATATTAACGGAATATTGACGGGCAACAACCGATAACAAACTTTTGAACAATCTTTTGATAGACTTTAATATTTTTCCATACAAATGCTTGATAAATGACATGTTATCATTATAATTATAGGAATGCGGGAAATAAACAGGATAGCGTGTTTTACACAATAAAGAAAAAAGTATAATTTTCGTCCTTTTTAAAATTCCAATAATAAACGTGCAAGGAATCACCGAACATATGAATGCATTTTTAAATATAAAATCAAAAACGCAGCAAGAGTATGTTACAATATTTTTTGAGTTAATTCAGTAAAATATAAGAAAGAGAATGAAAAAGCAAAAAAAAAGAAAAGAAAAAGAAAAAACATAATGAAAATGGTATTCTTAACATGCGACAAATGATTTGCGGTCAGTGCATTTTCTTTTGGTCATATTCGCTATGAACCCATGACATCCTGGTTACTTTCATTTAGTCAGTGTAGATTACAAATGATTTTGAATTTTTTAGAAATATTCAATTCATTCATTCCAACCTTTTACATAAACAAATGAGATTTTTTATATGTTAAACAGATGATAACTTTACAGAG